ACACGAAATATAGAAAATGTCCTGATGCTCTTTCGTGTATGTCCTGTATGGCAAAATTTCGGGCCTGCAGTCGGCTGTGGCGATGCAGATAACACATTCAATGGCACGACACGCGTGTGTGGACAGTTTTGTTTGGCCAGATGTTTTTTTTTTTTTTGTTCTGCTTCGTTGACTTCGCTCTTTCCATTCGCGTTCTCATTCGCCATGCCATCGTCTGTTTCGTATCGCGGCGACCTCCAGGCCTCAACAAAGCGCGCTTGGCTAGTCTTGACTTCCATAAAATAGTGATGATATTTGAAGTTTAACGTCCTAAAACCATGATAGTATTGTGAGGAGCGTTTAAAGGAGGGCTCGGTCAAGTTACTTCATCCGGGGTGCACCTTAATCTAAGTACGCGAGCCTCAAACATTTCTGCCTTCTAAAATATGTGGCAAGGGCTGTGTTATACCTGGAAGCACGAATACCACCCCTGTTAGGCTGATTCAACCTACTAATCAGACTCAAATAGTTTTTTTTTATTTCTAATCTCAGCTTATTTTTCTCCGAGCACTGGCCCAGATTCCGCAAGCCGCAAATCATTGAAACATTACTCGACTCCCTAAATATGCGTACTTGCGATGAGCTTCCTTTGACAATACAACCTAACTTCGCAGACATTGTTATGTGGGGTTTAACGTCCCAACACCACTATATGATTTTGAGAGACGCCGTAGTGGAGGGCTCCGGAAATTTTGACCACCTGGGGTTCTTTAACGTGCACCCAAATCTGAGCACACGGGCCTACAACATTTCCGCCTCCATCGGAAATGCAGCCGCCGCAGCCGGGATAACTTCGTAGACATTGTCTACCGCTATTTTTTCCAAACCACGCGAAATTATTATCCCGAGGAAAAATAAGCCATAGGAATATTTCGGCCTGAACTTCAGTGCTCTTTTTCATTACGACTGCTTGATTTTATTCCTGTATTCATACCTGAATTTATGACCATAATATTAGCTTTACGAAAGTTAAGTAGTTCAATTACAGTAGCTGCAATGATCGCTGCAATTATATGCGTGCCCTTTCCGCATCTGGAGAAACGCCTCTACTACAGCTTTTCGGAATAGTAGTTCCCGCTCACCTTCAATGTATTCATTTGATCTGAGTGCCAGGCCACAAAGGCTTGTTTTTAAACGAAAGCGCTGATTCTCGAACAAAGGCCGCGCTTTCGGCGCCGATCATTCGGGTTTTCCCGCTAACAGCATACATCACAATTGAAAGATTCCGCGCATTAACAATCAGAAGGAGCTTGTCAAACCCTGTCTTGGCAGCTTCTCCAGAATATAAGCATCTCTCATTTTTCTGGCGCCGTGATCCGTCGAGGTCGAGAAGAATGGAAGTGACTATAACAAAATTTCGCTGCCGGGTTACCTCCCAGCATTTTCGCCTGCATGAGCGCTTTCCCTTCTGCATCTCTTCTGTGATGAAGAAGAGATCATTAGTCATTATTTTCTATTTTGTCACCTGTCGACATCATTGAGGAAAAGATTCATAGTACCACCTTTTCGAAATCTGCGTCTGGAAGTATCAGAATTAGGTGTTTTTTCTCATCAATCATTCTAAAATTCATCAGTCAGTCTAAAAGAGTATCAGCTGAATTATTCATCTATCAAATATCTCATCAATATTAATTCGTACTTAAATTCATTATACTAGTTAGTTCTAGCTTATATCAGTATAGTATACTAAATAAACTACGGAAAGTTCACCTACTACTTGGCCAATCCTCTTCATTAGGTATGAGCCATCAGAGAGGAGGAGGAGGAGGAGGAGGAGGAGAAGAAGGAGGAGGAGGAGAAGAAGAAGAAGAAGAAGAAGAAGAAGAAGAAGAAGAAGAAGAAGAAGAAGAAGAAGAAGAAGAAGAAGAAGAAGAAGAAGAAGAAGAAGAAGAAGAAGAAGAAGAAGAAGAAGAAGAAGAAGAAGAAGAAGAAGAAGAAGAAGAAGAAGAAGAAGATAAATAGAATATCCACACCACCTTCTCAAAGATGAGGTACCGTTCGTTTCATGGCCGATCCCCGTGGTAGGTTGCGCCAGTACTCTGATGAACTACACACCAACCCTCCAATCACACCACCCTGGCTCAGACAGTCAGCAATCGTGCCTCTATTTACCGCAAAATAGACTAAAACGTTGCATGTCGCCGTAATCTATAAAGCATGTGATGAATAAGTTATTCTTTAGCCATATATACACGTGTCTTTGTGAAGAAAGCTGCTCCCAAGTACTTCGCGATTTACCTTTGTCCGCGTCAATTATTTAGTGTTTTGTCTAAGCGTATTCGTGTTTCGATACGGACCACAATATATCACTGTTCGCAGAGGTCAAGCAAGAGGTCTGCTCGTAAGATAACCAACTAGAACACACCGTAAAGAAACAGAGCACGCAGCTACGTTCTATCAGCAAGTAGGCCTAGGCCAGCTATAGCTTCCAGTTTGTTGCACGCTTTTAACGAGGCACCTATGCCGCTTATAAGCGTCCCTGTGTGTTTTCAGTGTCTGCTCTACGTTCCATCGAGCCGGTAATTAGGGGCTCACGTAGCATAGCACGAATGGAGCACAATCAGACAAACAGGAATTGATAATCATGCCTTGTTATCCGCATGAGACACGTGTAATCTCGAGCAGCCTACTTTGCATAGAGCGCGATCGGGTATGCGCATGTGCCCTAAAGAGAGAAAGAAAAGAAATCTGGGCCATCTTGTTTGCACGTTTCCGGTTCGCTGCCTCCGGCCCGAGTGAGGCGTTTCATTATGCTACGCATCTCCAAAAAAAAAAAAAAAAAGAGAGAGAGAGCCTCCGGTTCCTTCTCAACATTGCTCGCGTGTTAGAGTCGCTTAGTACTGTTCCGTGGGTTCATGCCAAGCTTCGTTTATCCAGTGCTTTTCGTCTCCATACTTTTTTTCCTTGGATGCTTCTTCAGTTGGATCTCCGTTCTAGCTTCAAAAGAGTAGATGTGAAAATCTTGACCTGCACTCGAAATGACCTCGTTTCTTCGAAAATGGAGTAAAGTTGGTGGGCTGTTCGCCTGCTATGTCATGCGCGTTCGATGGCAAGAGGTTAGCGTGAAACGGAGATTTGATAACCAAAAGTTAGCATGACGCGCAGATGCAACGGACTGTTAGTGTGACACGCAGCCTCAACAAGAAAGTTTAAAGAACACCATAACGCAGATTGACGCAGGAAAACAGCAAGAATATGTGTAGTCTGTGTATTCCTGTGTAGCTTGTAGTGCGTGTTTGCTAGTGTTATTGAATCATTAAGTCAGTACCATTAGCTCAGTTGAATGCATTGAAGAATACCAGTTGGTCGTTATTTCCGGAGCCTTTCACTATATACTACGCCTAATTCAGGTATCGTTTGAAATGCTAGCTAGATATAGCCAGGAAACCGGGCGTGTTTCGTCTAGTTTCCTAAGTATGGCCAAATTAAACCAGGACCAGTGGCGGATCCAGGGGGGGGGGGGGGGGGTAGGGGTGATCGCATATTCCCCAAAGCCTGTCAACACGCCCTCTTCCTCTTTTCTGTGCTTGCCGTTCATTTGCTATTACTAATTAGAAGAAATGAATGATCACTGTGAGCACACATTGACAGTATTTATGCCATTACAGGGTTTTTCCGCTAGTAAAACAAAAAAAAAGTAATGACCACGCCTCATTTTTCGTGTTCATTCAAGAGACCGCCTCCCCCCCCCCCGATTGATTGATTGATTGATTGATTGATTGATTGATTGATTGATTGATTGATTTGTGGGGTTTAACGTCCCAAAACCACCATTTGAATATGAGAGACGCCGTAGTGGAGGGCTCCGGAAATTTTGACCACCTGGGGTTCTTTAACGTGCACCCAAATCTGAGTACACGGGCCTACAACATTTCCGCCTCCATCGGAACTGAAGCCGCCGCAGCCGGGAATCGAACCCGCGACCTGCGGGTCAGCAGCCGAGTACCTTAGCCACTAGACCACCGCGGCGGGGCTCCCCCCCCCCCCCCTCTTCTTAAAATGGGTGGCTGGATCCACCCCTGACCAGGACCCGATTACAGTATAGGGCATTCATCGTAATTATATGGTGGCTTTGGCACGTAAAACTCCTATATCGATAAGAGAGCGTTCGCGTGATGCTTAGATAGTCCAATAGACTAGCGCGTGTGCAGTATGATCCCCATGCTACTTACGACATCTGTGATATGGCACGCTACGTTTGGCTTTAGCCGTAGTTCAAAGATTAAAAAAAAAAAAAAACACGTTAAAACGTTGGCGTGTAAGAGAGGCTTCTGCGTGGTTGCTTTAATAAAAACGTCTCGTATTCCCTCGAGGTAAATCATTTGTCGTCACCGGTCAGGTTTTCACCACCATCACTGTTGTCGTATGTACCACTATGTTATGTTAGAATGTTTTATCAGTTTTTTCTTGCCGTACAGCAAGTACAGTTATACCACTGTGGTCGGCACGTAGCTTTTTTTTTTAAACGTTTAACCCGTGCGAGTTACTCAATGATGTGAAGGGTATAACCTATAACCGTATTTACTTGGTGGGGTGAATGGTGGGCTTGTTTTTGAGCCACTTCAGGGATCCTAATAATGTCATTTATTACCACTCAAGCGTGGCTCGAATCAAGCCCTCGCCGCCACACTCACTTCATGACATTCACTCTCTCGCAGTTGCACTTATTCATTTTATACATGCGAAATCAGTGTGCCATGGGGCTAAGTTGCATGTTACAAAGATTTCTCGGGTGGCTTTTGCTAAGCTTTTTATGTGAAGATGCAACGTACGACTAGTTCCGTTGTGCGGCTCGTGCCCCTAAAACTGTTTCGTTTTGTACTTACATAAAAAGTTGGTAAACATTCAGCGAAAAAAAAAGGTGTCGCGTGCTACGAACCCTGATAATAAAGACTTACGAAAAAATTCATATTCGCTTTACGCTTAGTTCGTCCATCTCATGCTTTCTCTCTGCGACGCAGGTTCACCATGACCTTGGTTCACAGAGGCTACGTCCAAGTGCTGCCGGCCGGCACATCGACCACCAAGATCCAGGTGTGTGTCCATGTACCTTCATTGAACCTCTCACGAGAGAGAGAGAGAGAGAAAAAGAAACAACTTTAATCGAAACGGCAAGTGTAAGAAGAGCTATATCCCTTCCCTTAGATGGAAGCTGGGAGTCCTTGGGCCATAGCGGCATCTTCGGTTCGCTTGATCACTTCTAGCCGGGATGCTCGAGCTAAGCAGGGTGGTTTCCCACTGCTGTGTGTTCAGATATTTCGTATCTGGCCCCTTCACGAGGTCGGACCAAGCCCAAGTAACGTGTTCGAGGTCCGCCCGCTGATTAGGCAGTTTACATTTGTCTGAGTAGAATTATGGATGGGCGTTCTTTCAGCGCGCTCACATCAAGGGAGGCGCAATTTCTACCTGTGCATCATCGCCACAAGCTAACATGTCCGGTCAAGATCTAAGGGTGATTGCAAACGCAAGATTAACATATGAGAGAAGGACATTGCTTTAACTTCCATTAGCTATTGCAAGCAGCTACAGAGCTCGGCAAGCTCGCCTTGGCTGGTTCGTGCAAAGCGTACCGGTTTTACCAGCCTAAACTATGCAGCCTAGCTCAGCGGCGAAAGCGCTGATCGCGCATCCGGAATGTGCTCATGTGTGACTGAAACGAAATCTATGCATTTGTTTATCTGGTGAAACTTGAAAAACGAATATTATTGTAATGCTAATTTTCCCACATTGAAGACGCGGGTACTTTGTGAGCGAAGCGTATCGTACGGCTCGCGTTGACCTTATCACCTGAGGCCGGCGTTTTGCGGCACCGGCGCTGCGTAGAGAACGGGACCAGTCCCTGTATGCATAACAAGAGAAACACGAGAGTGCATAGCGAGGCCAACGCTGAGCCCTTCATCGGTGACCGCACCGTGAAAGGCAGTTCAGCGACCCGAGCTTCAAACTCGTTCGCGAGATTGGCTTTCCTCTACGCACTGCTGCATGCAGGAGAAGCTGTCATTGCGTAGCCGTTTTTATACGCTGACTTATTACTCTGCGTTCTTCGCGTTGATCGAAGTCCGTTCACCTCTCCGGCGAACTTTCTCTTGCTTTACTCGTTACTTTCTTTTGTTGGACTTTCTTAACAGTGCGAAAGTATATGTCGGCGCTTTGATGGAAGAGAAAATACTGGATCCTTGTTTAGGGTTTCACACTTGGAACAACGCGCAAGGAGAAAAAGCTGACCGACAAACAATATCGCGAGATGCCGTTGAGTTAATATTTGCAGTAGGTCTATTCGCACTAGCGGCAGTGACGGATATTATGGAGGGTTCAAATCATCGCCTGTGGAACATTGTGTGAATAAACTCAATACAATTGTGTAATGAAGGCACTTGTACTCCATCCATTTCCATGTATGTGTGTTTCGTGCGAATGTAACTTGTTGGAATTACCACTTCACATGCCGTGTGTTTAGCCACTTCACTGCGTTTTATTGTTTTATCATGTTTAAAGTGGATACCACGCGTGAGAAGGCAAGCCTTTTTGGAAGAGTGTTACTTTCCGGAATAGTGATTGCAATAATAAGTTTCGCCACAGTACAGATATATATTACGGTGAGCATATTTAGCTCGGAATAAAAAAAAAATGTACTGGTGAATGGAGACTCCACGAGAGAAGCTTACATTGTAATAACCGGGGATACGCAGGATGTCCTTGAAGAGACACTACTTCGCACTCTAATGGAAGAGAGAAAGGCTCTTGACCCCCCCCCCCCCCCCCACACACACACCAGGAAATATTTGCTTCTCATGTGCACACGCACACAACAAACACACGCACAAACTTACATAACGGAAGGAAGGAAGGAAGGAACAAACGTTTATTTTCCGAAACGGTGTAGCGGTGTAGGTTCCGCGTCCACCTTAGGTGGGAGGTCTCCTCATTCCAGAGACTCTCTAGCCTTCGCTGCCTCCTTGGCCCTGGCGATGAAACATCGTCGTTGGTCCAGGTTCTCCAAAGCGAGCTAGGCCTGACACGTTTCGAGAAGGTCGGTTTAAAATCCTTCCGCTCTTCTTTCGGAAAATATTTCCAGCTTCGCCTCTGCAACTGAGGAAAAAAGAAGCCTTTCTCTATGTGGGAACCGAAAAGTCAGTCTGAGTCGGAGAGCTTTAGTTTACTACCTCGGATATTGGACGTCATATACCCAAGTGCTTGCGTACACGCCCCCTTTGAGATCACTTATAGTAAGTTAGGAATACAAGTGAAATCCCAAACAATGAGACTGCCTGATTACGTGCAGAATAGGGCCTCATTCATCCTTCAAGGCAGGCGCGGCAGGCGCTCTCAACGCCTGCGTGCGCGCATACAATGATGGTTCGGCCCGCATCGAGGAAGCGGCCCGGCGGCGGCGTTTCGCACGGCTGAGCGCGAGAAGGCGTGCGTCTGGTTTCTCTTACCATGAGCTAGGGGGCGCCACGTGACTACCGGACTGTGAACGCCAACTCACGCTCTGGCGTACCCAGAACCAGCTCGCGGCAGCGACAAGAGCTCCTAAAAAGGGAGGGGCTTCATAGGCGTGCGCAAGGAAGGAGTAGGGGGAAGCAGGGGCTGAACCCGTCCATATATATATATATATATATATATATATATATATATATATATATATATATATATATATATATATATATATATATATATATATATATATATATATATATATATATATATATATATATATATATATATATATATATATATCAGAAGGAGCCGCGTTCTTTAATTCAGTCATATATTTTACGTTATTTTTGAATACGCAGACTTGTCGCTACCAAGGATGTTGAAAAGAAAAGAATTCGCCTGTACATCCCATTGATAATTAGGAATTTTCATTACAATAATGGTGAACAAGAAAGGGGCCTGATATTGCATTTTGATTGATTGATTGATTGATTTATATGTGAGGTTTAACGTCTCGAAACCACCATATGATTATGAGAGATGCCGTAGTGGAGGGCTCCGGAAATTTAGACCACCTGGGGTTCTTTAACGTGCACCCAAACCTTAGCACACGCGTCTACAACATTTCCGCCTCCATTGATATTGCATTTTAAAAACTTGGTACTTCCAACCGTTATCTCAGACTGGGGACCAATGCCAGGCCTTTGTGAGAAGCACGTGATCTTGTCATTTTGTTATGATATGATATCATATGATATGATATGATGATATTGTTTGATTTATTCAAGGGAAGATTGTTACAAATTGCTTTGTGGGACACGACTAAAGGCTCAGTAATCACCTGACTAGGTCGTGCCACATTTTCGCATCCTCTGCAAAACTCGTTTTCGTTCCGACAAAAAAATGGAGGGGTGAGTGGGAGGGGGGTGGCTGCGACGAAACTTGCCGCCGCTTTGTCGATACTCCTGTGCGCGATTATAAACTCTAGCGTGAAAAGCGTAGAGCTCAGATGCTCAAGATTTCTTCAACTGTCGAAAGAAACATTTGAAGCACGCGCTGCGTCCCACTTCTCGATCACGGACCCTGGTTAGGGCCCGGAATTTCACCACCATGCTAACCCGCAGGTAGCGGGATCGAATCCCGGTCGCAGGGGTCGCATTTTCGATGGAGGCAGAAATGTTTGAGGTCCGTGTGCTTAGATTTAGGTGCACATTAAAGGACCCCAGGTGGTCAAAATTTCCGACGCCCACCACTAAGGTGTTCCTTACAATGATGTGGTGTTATTGAGATGTTTAATGCCAAAAATTATTATTGCTATTAATATTAGAATTTCACCGCCAGACGTGAAGAATGCTGTCGATATGCGTCCCATGTGATATTCAAGTGAAGCCATACTAAGGCGTTCTTTAAACGGCGCACTAAATCATCTGAACAGCGCATATCTGGGCGTCATCTTCAAAGATTATTTGTTACATGTAGGGCGTCCTCGAGATGTATCTGAGGAGGGAACAAATGACAATTAGGTACCAAGGAATTACGGAAGAAGAACAAAAGAAAATAAATCGTTCAGGCTGTTCGCTTATTTGTCTGACATATAGTGAAAACGACAGACAGTTAAGCCGGGAAAAGCTTTCGAGAATGTCAGAGTGGCAAGCTGCCACAAGAATATTCCATCAACATCTGGCAGGATCATTATTTCTTGTTGCAATGCGGATGACGAGACGAGGACGAGACGAGGGCTACAGGACAGGTGGCACGCAACACGAAATCATCAGCCACCCCTAACTAGCTCAACTTATCGCTCTGCTACGCCTAGTAGAAGAAAGTCGTTGTTGTGTAGCAAAAGCTTGCTGTTTTATAGAGCAGACTTTGCTTATGGTAAACAAAATTTTTTGCACATATCCACTCTACACAACAGCGTTCCCTTGTTCCATTTACCCTGTCGAATGTGGGGCTCCAAATGCATGCAGGATAGTGAGCCTACATGACCGACCTAATGCAGATTGGAAAGCGAAAGCCGCTCTGGCAACCCTGCTACGCGCCAATAAAAACAGTTTGTCTTTCCGAGTAAGCACTGGCGCCACCGGACTGCCTGGCTCAGACGCTGGCCCTGTTTGCCAAGCGTGAGGTGCTTGGCGTCAAGATAAAAAGCTTACACATGCGCACTCCATCTGTCGACAGCTGGCGTATCAGCTACATAACGGTGTAAGCAAGCTACCCTTTACCGCATGCTTGCCGCGTTGTAATTGTTTGAGCTTTGAAAAGAAAAATACGAAAATATCAAGCTAAGAATAATGTCCAGTCCATCTGAGGAGCGCCCGGAGGATTAAGATACCACGAAAAAAAATGCATTCCTCAAGAGCTCGCACGTACAACTCAGCTGATAAGACTGATAAGTTTGCGCGCTTCGAGGCTCGCGGGCTGTCACAGGTGCTCACCTGTAGAGAGGCACCCGAGTGGTCAGACAGAAAATATGGAGGAACTTCGTCGCAGTCTTGTGAATCAACTTGTCGAACGCACTGTGAGTTTGTTTCAAGCTTGAAGTTTATTGTAGACGCGTTGTTAATCTCTCTTGCTCGGCAGATGCGGAGGCT